AATGAGTTTTGATGTGCTGAGGGAAATGCCGCGGATAACATGTTGAAGAGTGGAAAAGGTGATGAGAGATGGGTGCGAGTAAGCCGGTGATATGAGCAGCCTCTCCTAGAAGCTGAACAGCCCCGACCTTCTCTTGCCCAACGGGTAAACGATGAGCGCAGCAAGGAACAAGCCTACTGTGATACCAATCGCGATCTGGATGACAGAGAAACCGACGTCTAGAGCAATGGAGTTGATGCTTGTGCTGCCGCCAACGTCGGCGCTGCTGATTGTCGTAGCGTTGCCAGTCTGGTTGCGCACGATCTGGTCGGCCGAGGTCAGACCCGATACGAGAGAGCCTTGAACACTGAGTCCAGACGGAACTTGGACGAAGATAGCTGGCAACATGGCGGCTGCGGCAAGACCGTAGCCTATCTTGCGAGTGTGGGGTGTGAAGTCGCTGACTGAGCTGGCTCGTGATGTGTGGCCGCTGCTGGTGTGGGTTGGATCATAAGCCGATCGCTCGACCTTTTGTGTGCGGAGGGTGAGTGGTCCGTGGTTCTTCTTCTGCCACATCTTTCGCACCTTGACGAAGTGAGGGCGCAGCTTGTTCTCCCAGGTGTCATGACCCCAGTTCTCGATGTGACGACCGAAGCGAGCATGGGCGTTGGCGGCGATACCGATAGCCAGTGCTCCGAGCGTGTTGCTGACCTGCGCGTTGCTCTTGAAGTACTTTGAGCTGTGGAAGTTGACAACCCAGCCGATGAAAGCGATGACAGTCATGGAGGGCATCTGCTTGTACTTGGCTTGGTTGACGATTTGCAGGCAGATGGCGAATCCAGGAACAAAGAGATAATAGAAGTTGGTCGACATGGGTTCGTGGCATGTGGTGCGCGAGGTGGCATTGTGGTCCATCATGCCATATAGTACAGTGCCGATGGTGATACCGAAACCAAGGAAGAGAGAGTAGATGATAGCGTAGACCATGCGCACAGATCCAGCGACGATGTGCTTGCTTTGGAGCTCCAGCGATGCGCAAAGCACCATGAAACCGGGTAGGATGAGGGCAATACTAGACTGAGCCATGGCACTGAAGCAGAAGATCTCTTTCCCGTCATGTCGGATGGACCCAAGGGCGCGCGCCGCAAAGCTGGTGATAACCGATGCTCCAATCTCGAAGACGTTGCTGATAAGATCGTTTCCGGGTGCAACGACGAGTTGGAGCCATCCGATGAGGCAACCCAAGAGGAAGCAGAAGGGTAAGTCGACAAACCGAGCCTGAAACGCGAAGGGCCCTACAGTCGCGGATGCCAAACCGTACATCGGTACGCGAAGCCATTTGTTGAACTTGTCTTTGCGCCCCATGATAGCGTCAAGTCGAGGTGTGGCTTCTTCGACGCCAATCCTGTCGTGTACCACGTCCTTGTAGATCTCATGGACGTCGTGCAGTTTACCGAGATCGACACCCTGACTAGTTCGAACGAGCTTGACCTCACTGGTGTGAACTGAGGAGTCATCGAACGCGACGATCATGCAACCTGGCATGTACAGGAACTGTGCTTCGATCTCCAAGACACGAGCCGACATGTTCAGGTACTCCTCCAGTCGATGAGTGGGGGCGCCGTACATCATGAGCGCTTTGCACAGCTTGCGGAGATAGTTCTGACGCGCAAGTGTACCAGCGAGATGAATCTTGATCTTGATCTCCTCTTCCTTCCTCTTGTTCTTCTTGAATGGTAGTATGGACTCGTCTGACTTGGATCGCTTGCCCATGCCAGGGCGAGCCGCTGTCTTCTTGTATTGTTGATCATACTCCTGGCCCAGTTCTTGTTGTGCAGGCGCCGCAAAGCTGTGCGCCGACGATCCGACCAAGTGCGAGATGGAAGTTGCGGACTGGTTGTTGGAGTGACTCCTGAACCAGGGACGTCCTCCGCGCGGGGTAGAATATCCGGAAGCGGGTGGTGAGGGGTTGGGTGAGTTCGCAGCAGTCGAAGCTCCGCTGAACGTGCTGGTGCTGAGGGTTCGGTGGTGGATGGGTTTGCGTGATGACGAAGATGACGAAGGTGGCGCCGCGTTACTAGACATCTTCATTAGGGTACCCAATACTCCTGTCCGGTACTTGGTAGGACGAACGACGTGTTCGTCCTCAACCTCCATAGCATCCGGTGTCACCTGGCCTGACCGTAGTGGAGCTTCGGTATGGTAAAGATCCTCGGCGCTCAATGCGGGCTGTCCATTAGCAGCGCGTATGGTGTGCTGACGAAGGAGCATGGATGCTCGCTTCATGAACTGCGGGTCTTCATCATCGTCGTCAGTGGTTTCGCCGACTGATTCGTACTGCTTGGACAGGTTCTGGAGTTCAACTGGTGGAGAAGCCAGCTCCTTGGAGTTTCGCCGGGATACTGGAGCAGAGTAAGTGCCCACTGACTTCGATAGTCTTGCCGCACGTCGTTGAGCAGCGAGTCCAGATCTCTCCTTGAGCTCCTGGTGCACTGAAGGCGTCGCTGCCGCATTCTGGTCGTCGAATGGATTTGGTTGGTCGTTGAGGTAGAACTCCGGGGGCGGAGTCCGAGGGCCTGGCTTCCGAATGGCTGGTCGGGGTTTCTGTACATCCTTTGGAGCAGTGATAGGTTCCTGGATAACCTCTTCTGGTAGATGTTCGTTTCCAAGAGCTAAGCGTAGCGAGGCACGGATCTTTTGGAGATCATCATGTGATACATCATTCCGCACGAGAGGGGTGTTTTGCCCGGCAGAGCCAGTGTCCTCGGGTGACTGTGTTGCTCGTACAGCGGGGTGTTCTGCTTGCCAACCAACACGTTTCCTGCCGGGAGTGGTAGACATCTGGTCCTCGAGTTCGAAAGTGGCCTGACGAGAGGGACCGGCGTCTTGAGAGGGATTCATGATGATATTGTGTTGTTTGGGCACTATCGTGGGCTAGTTGGGCGCTTCAGGAGTAGCCAGTGCGCTCGCAATAATGACCAATGCGCCGGATTCCGCGACTCGGTGCATACAACGTTCGCGTGGTGAGTGCTGACTGTGCGCTAATCAGGCGGCGGTACTCAATAGGCGAGTTGATATCCGGTTCCGTTCATGCGCCTGCAGGTGGATCTATCGAGTATCGTGAGTTCCAAGGTACAAACAGGGTATGACTGGTTGTTGTGGCCTGTGTGTGGATGATGCCTAGAAATCGAATAATAATATCGTAATGACAGGAAATCAGGTACGAATGAAGTATTGCTTTGAGTCAAAAGCTGGGATCGCGATGGAAGGCGAGTACTCCTAATGTTGCGTGGGATTGATAAGAGCCTCTAGTGCAATGGTGTGTGTCGCGTAGTCCCGAACGGGTCTGTAAGGGTTCTCAAACTCTGTAGTGGCGTGCCGACCCAATTTTCCTAGTCGAAACACAGCGGCCAGAAGGTTCGGTGTCGGGTTCGTCAGCTCGACAGCGTGAGGGTGGAGCGGAAAGTGCAGGGGACGTGGAACGTCGGGAGCGCCAAAATCGCGACAGGCACCAGAAATCGTAGCCCAAACTTCCAGAACCTTGATCGCTGCAGCGGTTGTGGCTGCACCGGCGTTAAGTATATTTTAGGGAACCCGCGAAGGCCGATGCAAAAGAGCCGCAAGCGTGCCGAAGATATCAGAGTATAAAGACGCCTGCATTCGCCGGAGGTGCAGAGTTTTTAGGGAGCCGTCAGGAGTCGGCGTACGACGACTTTGAAGCAACATGTTAGCAGCAGGATTGCACAATGTTTGATGAAGCTCTTGGACTGACGACAGTGGACAAAGCGCGGACACCGCTACAGCCAAGATTTGCAGTCACCCATACCCAGGACGGATGTCGGCGCAGCAAGAAAAGTGGACATCGTGGTGCCAAAGCTTGGGACATTCTGGTTGAGGGAAACCGAGATAAGGAGACAGTGGGTATAACTGGGTCGTCCAAGCCTCCCAGCGCGCGTCGGCCCAATCGTCGCAAACCTAGGGGCATCGTGGGAATGAGCTTGGAGTGCTATGATAGCATGGGTGGAGCAATGGCTCCTAGGCGATGATCGAGAATTAACCAGCGCCTAGGTTCATCACACGGTTGAGTCATGGCAGCGGAGGCGCACTGAAAAGGAATGCGTTGAACACGATAGCGATGGATAGATTACCTAGGTCGTCGCATGGTGTTGGATTTGGGTGTGGTCGCGTTGGTGGCGAACGAGCGCAAACTTGCGGCTCAAATTCTCTGAAAGGCCGGTAAAGCTTATTTCGCGAGCCCGGGAGTCCCTGCGCATCTCACGGTCCCAACAACAATGCGCCGCGAGAGAAGTCGGAGCGCATGTTTCGGTGTCGCTCGCATCGTCACATGCTAGGGTGTTTGGGTGTGACGGACACGACGATACGCCATGATCATGACGTCGCGCGCGGGTGGTGCGTTCTAATTCTGTTAGAATCTCACCACCTGCCACCACTACGACTATCTCCACTCTCCACAAGGTTCGCGACCTCCAGGTGTCGATAGCGTGGGCCACGTCGTCCCAACACTTCTTTTGTGTATCGCAATGTCTTCGTCACCATCTTCGTAAGACGCACTCGCTATAGCAACGGTCGCTTGCCTCCTGTCGGGCTCAGGCGCGCGCCAGAGTTATGATCATCAGGGGAGACGCGTGCTCTTCCTTACGTCATACCTAGGTACCTCACGATCCACCAGCCCTGCAGGAAGCATTGTTGCGGCTCCAAGACCCTTTGCTCCACTATCACGGCTATCATTACTCAGCGCATCACGTGCACGAGTGCCGGTCCGGGCGGTCCCACGATGTCCCGGTGCCGATTACCATCCATGGATGTGGGGCAGTCGACTCGTTCCCCGCACCTGCCAGCTGCAGCTCAGCCGACACTCTGCGAGATGGCATGGAGAAGTTTGGAGGCGGGGATGTGACAGCCCCACCATAATGGACATGTCATCTGAGTTTCTTAAAGGATGACATGTGGTTGAGATATACTTCTTCATCATCTGTATGCAGTAGTCCAGATCTGTCACAATGCCGAAGATTAATCACGTATGTTCCTCCGCGAAGGCTTGCATGTGCATGTCGCTAACACCGATAGGTCGTCATCGTAGGAGCTGGCCCTTCCGGTCTCTTGCTTGGAATCCTCCTAGCGAAGAACCTGAGCATCAAAGTTACCATACTCGATGCGGATACCAAGATCAACGACAACCCGCGGGCTGCTCACTATGCGCCTTCAGCGGTCTACGACTTCCATCGCGCAGGCATCATAGACGATGTACGTGCTGTCGGGCTGCACCCCAAAGGTGTATGCTGGCGATTGCAAGATGGAACTTTCTTGGGTGGCATGGGCCGCGACCCAGAAGACTCAAAATACGCAATGGTTGTGCTACCGCTCGATCAATTAGGCCCCCTACTTGTGAAGCATTTTGAAAGCTACCCGAACACCGAGATCAAGTGGGGCCACAAATTGACCGGTGTGGAACAAGACGACAACAGCGCGACCGCGGTTGTCGAGACAAAGGATGGCGAGAAGAAGAAGATTACAGGCGATTATCTAGTTGGTGCTGATGGCGCATCGAGTGGTGTGCGCACAGCGTTATTCGGAAAGGAATATCCGGGAGAGACGCTGAAGGCGCAAATTGTTGCTACCAATGTCTACCTACCATTCGACGAACGCTTCGACTGGTGGGATTCGAACTTCATCGTCCACCCCACGGATTGGTACATGGCCGCCAAGATCACCAACGACGGCCTCTGGCGAGTGACATACGGCGACTCTGAAGGCCTCTCAAAAGAAGAGCTCGTGAAACGTCAACCCCTCCGCTACGAGCAAATTCTGCCCGGTCACCCCAAACCCAATGAGTACAAGCTCAAGAGCATGAGCCCTTACAAACTCCAACAAAGATGCGCGCCCAGCTTCCGCGTAGGCCGAATTATACTAGTCGCCGACGCAGCGCATCTGTGCAATCCATTGTATGTATTTCAGTTTATGATGAGCGAACTCTACTAACACAACATCAGCGGCGGTATGGGTCTCACAGGCGGTTTCGCCGACGTAGGCTCCCTCTACGACTGCTTCACCGGCATCCACCTCGACGAACTCGACGACTCCATCCTCGACAAGTACTCTGAAATCCGCATCAAGATCTGGCGCGAGATGATCGACCCCATGTCGCGCGAAAACTTCCACCGCCTCTGGGACCCCGAGCACGAGGAGAAGAGGAAGGAGTTCTTCAAGATGTGTGAGAGGGCGAGTGATGATCCGGTGTGGGGGAAGAGCGTTGCAGAGACTATACATCAAGTTCGACATGATTTCACGCAGTACTTTAAGAGTAAGCAGAACGTGAGTGGGAAAGCGATGGGGGAGCTGGCCACGGCAAATGGGGTGTTGGCGGAGAATAGCGCGGCGGCGTAGTCGTGGGAGGAACGCGACATTTTCGGGATATAGACTTTAGTAGGCATGTTGCGGAATACCGTGCAATTATGATATTGCAAGTATCATTACGACACAGTACATTTAGAAAGCTAATTGAAGCTTCTATGGCAAGTGATCAAACTAGAAGTAGATCAAGAAGACGTGAATATTGAACGGCTGTCGCCGCCATACGCTGATTCCACGCAACACCCCACCGCAGCCTACAAGCCCTCCTCAAACACCCTCCGTGACCCCGCTATACCCTCCACACAGGTACAAATCGCGTCCTTCCGACCAGACTCACCACACTTCCCACAAGCCGCCCTCCACTGCGCCTCCACAACATCTTCAGGAAACTCATGCAAGATCGAGAAACGCACATTCTGCGCAAACGGTACAGGCCATTTAAGAATCGGCAACGTGTGCATGTGGCACCCGCCCACCGCTCCAGGCCGATCAGGGAATTTTTCGTGGCGCAGCAGACTCCACATGCGGGTTTCCTTGATGTAGTGTTCCGGGTCGACGACGTTCCTCATGAAGCAGTGGGCGCAGTCCATGTTGAAGCGGAGAATAATGGAGATGTTGTCATGGAGGGAGAATTTCCAGGTATACCAGTTGAGAATTTCGCGAGTTCCGTCTATGCTTACTATGCTTGATCTTCTGACTCTGTCTGTAGACATGTGAACAGTCATTTTGCGCAGGCGATTTCGGTTGACAGGACTGCACTCGTCGTAGAAGTCCTTGAATATCCTCTCATAATCCTTGTCGAGCCAGCGACTATTTCCTTGCGGTATTAAAGAGAAGGAGATGTCATTCAAGCTCAACAAAAGCCCGCGTGTTTCAGCGCGTGTCTGATGGCAGACTAAGCGAAGAGGGTTGCAATCACCGGGTTTGAAGATAACGCCATCGTGGCCCTCGGCTGGTCGCTCACTGTACTGGAAAGGCTGGAGACTCGGCGACCATCGGAAATGCCCGGGGCCATTTCGGGTGGGTTCTGAAGTCGCAACAAGGCCATCTTCGTATGTCAAGGCGTATGTGTGGATGATGTCTCGGATCTCTCGAGGTAGTTTGAGATAGTGGCATACGCCGCTGGGGTCTGGGTTATCGGCTGGGTGGCTTCGGAATCGCAGAGGCTGCTCGTGTCTTGAAGTCATAGTTGTGGTGTGCGTTCGTTGGGTGGGTAGTTGAGACTGGTGGAGCAGTCTTGTGTGATTATAAGTATAGTGAAGTTCAGGCTATAGCGTTCACACGCCGAGATCTTCGAGATTTGACGACTTGGCGATCATTCACAGTAGCGGTGATTTCGGGAGTGGCGACAGTCAAGGCTCCTACGCTTCTTGGTAGGCCGATTACTCCTCTCGAGAGATAAAAACCCGTCTGACCGCTTCGGTTCTACCAGCGCGCATTCCCAACCTCCGACTCTTGACCATCACCATGGGCGGTTACATCTCCTCATTATCATCGCTAGCAAGTAATTCGCCCTCGCCAGAACCAACGGGCCCTTCACAGCTTCTTGATCTACCAGGAGAGCTGCGCATGATGATATATGAATACGCTCTCTACTACGAAGATGGGCTGTTAATTGTACCTTTGACACGACTTTTTACAAGCGCCATCATACTCCGCCCAAGAAATGCCGCTGATGGCTGCATCGAAAACCCCCTCAAATTCATCTGTCGCCAAGTCAGCGCAGAGACGCAAGAGCTCCCTTTGAAACTCAACATAGTCCACGTCGATGACAACGCTCAGCGACTAATGTATCACCAAAAAATAATGTGTCGCTTCGTCAGGGGTCTGGACTATGACGTGTATCGCCTTGGACACATTCGAAGACTGTCCATTCAGGTTCCATACCACAGCAAGTTGGACGGTATGCCATCGGTCAGGGTTTACTGGCCGTGCCAAAATAGGTTTCAGCTTTCCCTGAATGCATGGGTGGCGTACAGCAGAAGCCATCCGTTGTGTGAGGTTCAGTGGGCGTACGACCTACGATCAAGTGAGGCGCATCGGCAAGGGTTGGCGTTGATGTGGATGGTAGCTGTGGAAATCGTCATTACTGGCGAATCCCTTCTTACGCTATCTGAGAGAGAGAAAGCGTTTTGGATACCAAGCGCTCAGACTTTCTTGGGAGATTGTCGAGACGAACACACCGGTGCAGTCGCGTTGCCGACCAACTTTCGAATACTTATCAATGCGCCGTTTCTCGAGGACCATGTCTTGGCGAGATTACAGCAACAAGGGGAAACAAGTTCATTGACTGATCTTCAAGTTCAGGGGATGGTGGAACAATTCAAAATAGTCTATGAGCAGGGAATCCGGGGACGCGAAACAGCAGCGATGCGCGAAGCAAAAGACGACTAGTTGGTGAGGAGCTTCAGTAGCGCGATCAATGTTCTGGTAGGAGGTGACATGGTTGCAAAGGGCCTAGAGCAGATAGTCAACAGGTCAAGATAAGAAGGGCGCGGCGCTCGAATAGAATTACCGTTAACATAAGCGCCATATCATTAGCTCGACCATTCCTTGTCTGCTCTAATTAAGATTGATAGACGTGGTACTCTTAATGCCAATAGAGCTGCGACGGCGTAGAGAGTTTCGCGTTACTCATACACTTCATGCGTACAACCGCCCCGGGATAGGCATCTCAACCGGGAAGCTCGTAAAACAGCAATGGCCGATCGGCTCCTCCCCACCCTCGCCCACTTTCCCATGTGTAACAGCACCCCACTGTACCGGTAAAAGACTAGCGTTCACATCTTCTGGCGGCGCATGACACGCCGCGCTAATAGCAGCAGAACAGCTACTAGCCAGAGGTATACCAGCTGGATACCAGAACCTGCTGATGACGAGACCGCCAGCTGCGATGGTGAAACCAACGACCGTAGTCAGGATGATAGCGACGGGGGAATAGCCACATGTTGAGACTTCGCTAGCGGCTTTGCGCGTGTGCATGTCAGTGATGGAGATTTGTACTTTGAATATGCTTTGTGACGCGAGCCAGTGGAAGAGACCTGACATGATGGTCATGGGGATAGCGTAGCGGAAGGGTACGTTGAGCCAGTACGAGTCGCGTTGGAAGCCAGTGGGCGATGTAACGCGGAGTGATTTCCGTGTTTTGACATAGCTTGCCCACTCCGCTGCGACGAACATGTTTGTGTAGAGAGCATTTAGCGCGATATACAAGTATGAGAGGACTAATTGAGGTGTATTTGCCAAAAGCACGCCCGGAATCAGTGATGTGCTGAAGTCCAGGAGATTGTTGCCGTTGACTGTCGCAAACCCTGTCTTCCACAGTTTTACAGGGTCTTTGGGCATGCCTTCCAAGGAAAGTGCTATGCAGAGTCCACCGAGCCCAGCAATGATGGTGTATCTGCAGAGGTGAGTGGATGACCGCGAAGGGCTTGCACACAACTTACGCAGAGTACGTCTGCCACCATCGCATGGTGCTCGGAGCTCTAGCCCACCTCCTTCTTCTCATCTTGAATCTCGCGGGCTCAGTGTCGAGTGCCACTTTCGGAATGCTAGCGTATTCGTTCCAGTTCCATCGGAGACCGACGTCTCGTTTGGTGTGCAGGCAGCGACCGTAGGTTTCGGGATCCGGATCTTCGAGAAATGCCGCGATCGCATCTCCTATGGTTACAAGCGCGCCATGATCCCAGTACAGAAAAAGCAACAGTATCATACAAACCGCTTTGACAAGGTTGGCCACAATAACTGCTGTGGCGATGGTAAAACTGAATTGCAGCTTGCAAAACTCTTCGACTTGTTCGATAGTGCAGTAGGCCACGGGTACTTCGAATGGCTGCCACGCTGATCGATTGCTTGGAATCGCGGTCTCATCGTTAGGGTCGCCTGTGTCAAGTCTAGTCAATACACTATATTCGCAGGTGGCGAATACTGGGCTTACTCACACTTTTCTGGAGGATGAGGAAGACAGCGCCACCCGTTGGACGGATAAATAGATGGCGTACTTATGAACGGGAGATGTTGGTTTGGAGCTTCGGTAACATATGTATCGTTCTTGCGGTCCTCTTCTATCGTCTCTGGTGTTCTAGGAACCCATTCGAAAAAGCCGTTCCGATAACGTCGACCGACCCAGGCAGTAGCGTTCCGCAGAACCGTTGGGCTTGCTTGGATTAAGTACAAATTCCCAACTGCTGAGACATACTGGGTACCGTATGTTTCAAGACATTCGGATGTGCTGACGTTCCTGTATTTGGGCATCGAGCTGCCATTCCTCAACGCGACCGCATCAGAGGGGTCGAATCTATATTGGCCCCTAATTGTTGAGGAGATCACTTCTGTTGCGTTTGTGCTGATATCCAGAAAGCCCGAGGTGTCGTAAACATCTTGCGTAGACATCACCCAGTCAGGCGTCGTCGGTATGACAGCATACTCATTTGCCTGCAGGTTTGTGAAGACAACGGAGTTGAACAACAAATGTAGCGGTACAGACGAGAGAAACAACAAAATCCACAACACAGAGCGATCCCTTCCAACATGCCATAGGTTGCGGAGGTTAGGAACGCCGATGTGCAACCAGTTTCGCCGTGCGTGCGCACGCCCCAGCTCTTCTCGATTCGGCGCGGCAAGGATCTGTTGGCAGTAGTTCGAGCTGCACAGCAACAAGGTACTGAGTATGTTCACGACCAAGTGGACGTAGACGTTCACTTCTCTAACAGTAGAGCAGCTGCCTTGAATTAATGTCCCAACGCCGTTCGCATGCTCGTAATCGGGGTTCTTCCAGGCCCAGATTGTGACCGCGAGGTTCATGCTGAACACTAATATGGCGCAGGTAGCCGATGCGAGCGCACCCATGCGCCATCCTGTAAAGAAGCGCTTCTTTGTAGGGACGGGACAGCCAGGCTCCGGAGTTCTTGCCAGCAGGAGAAAGTCGTCATCGTGGTATGCTTTGTCGTTGACCAGCTCGTAGGTAGGAGGCTTCGAGTTCGATATATCCGATTCGCCTTCGATTGTAGAGTTCTCGTACTGCTTGGCATCCATGGATGCGGCCCTATTGCCATCTTGTCAGCCTGTACTACTCCTTTTCACACAAAGTGGACTCGTACCTTGGGGACCTTTCTGCCCTGCGTGCATATCCGGTCGGATCTTCTTGACCTTGCAGCTGCTTGTACATGCTGTCTAAGCGCCGTACGACCGTCGCGTGTAGCCCCAGAGGCGAAGGGTCTCAGAAAGCATGGGGAGTGCGACATCTTGTTGGGGGCCGACACAGCCTCACTGCATCTTGATTCTCAACTCAACGGTGACGTTCCAAGGCTTGAGCTGGCGTTTGGATACCACTGTTGGTGGCGCGAGTTGCATATGCATGTAGCGGCGTGAGCTTGGCGTCACAATACATGACTATCTGCAGGTGACTGGAGGCTTTTGAGACGCGTCAAACGCGTGGTCGTGCAGCGAATTCGCGAACGTTACGCGTGAGTAACCTCTCATGTCGAGAGCGTTGAAATCGAGTTGCGTATACGGCATACGTTCTGTCGGATTGGTACTCTTTCCATCGAGTGCGCATGCATAGCGACTTCGATTTGTGATGGTGATGGTGGCTGAAGCAGGAAGCGTGCAGCGAGAGTGCGGCGTAGCTTCCCGAGATCGCGACATGTGACGTCATGCCCAGACGGGCTCGCGCACCATGCTAAGAACGGCTATGCGCTTCGTCGCTTTCTCGAAGAAACCTCCGAAAGTTATTAATAGCGAATCTGCTAGGCAAGAAGGCAGCAATATCAGAGGAGCGGATATAAAACTTGTGCAATGTGTGGGGGGCAGCTGGCTGAAAGATAGGAAGCCACATGGCTCGGCATGAGCGCCTGGGCGTTGGCCCCCAACCTTCACTTTGTTCGTTTAGCCTGGTTGTCAGCATGGCCATGTTCGCAAACCTGAACACCCATTGCAGCATCGCATGGAGGCCCGAGGTTCTCCAAGACAGCCGCTTCTGTCTAGCTACTGATCCCCGTGACAAAGTCTTCTCATTACTGAACTTGCTGAGTTCAAGTACTGCGCAGGCAGAGTTTGCGTGGCTGTTAAACGTCGACTACACACTTCCCGTAGCTGAAGTCTATCTTAGAGCAGCGCGCTACAGCATCGAGACAGAACGCTCCTTGGAGATCCTTTGCTACAAGGACGCAGCACCGAACATACTCGACTTGCCTTCTTGGGTGCCCGACTGGACCGCGCAACGACTGTTTCCAATGCAACGCATATCCAATCCTCTGCACTACAGATCCCAGTTTCACAACAACATATGGCCTGACAGATCATGGACATCGCCATTCCGAAGGACTAGTAATCAGGCTCCAGTAGCCTCTTTTAGTGCCGATGGGAGAATAATCACCCTGAGAGGATACAAGCTAGACACGATCGAAACGACCGGCTCCATTTGGGACACCACGCTACACATGCCTGACGCTACGCGCTTCGATGAGTGGGCATCTCTATACACTGGCGGGTCAGCTTCAGAGATCACTGCCTTGCCCTTTCGTCGCGAACGATGGCCCAAAGGTGTACGAATACATCCATACACCATTGGCGATTTCTGGATACGAGTCGGACACCACCCGCGTTTGAAATCGACAGACATCCTCAAGCCATTTTCGACGAATCATTGCGCGCAAGAGAGATGGCGACGTAGCCCGTACCGTCGTCACCGCCGAGCTCGAGCGTTTGTCTTCTCTAGACAGGGGAACACGTCATTTCTGTGGTCTAAAGACTGGCTTGCAACGACACTGCCATACGCATTGATTGGTAGACGCGTCGCAACAACGCGGACTGGATACTTCTTGCTCGTACCACCAGACACAAAGCAAGGGGATGCGGTGTATTTCCTCGAAGGTGGCGGAAGTATCGGGTACGTGCTCAGATTGAATGCTAATGGGCCTGAATACGAATTTATCGGAGCTGCGTATGTGCATGGCTTCTACGGTATTCAGAATTGTTGGCAGGGCATGGAACAAGAACCTGTGGTGCTGAAGTGATGAGTTCCATGAGACATTCCATCGTCCACTCGAGCTTGACTGTCACGTGATCAGGAAAAAGGAAGGCCTCCCAGGCCTCCACAGCCGAAACAGGTGGCACTGCACACAGTGTGAGACTTGAGGCGCAATAGCTGTATGTTCGATAGGATTCACCTACATTATTATCACCGCCTATCTAAACCACGTTCCTCTTAACCCTACTAACAGCACTAGCACTCGGCGTACTAGTCGGCGGCAACGGAACAAACTCCTCCGTATGCGTACTCTCCGCCGTCCCATTCGTACTATAATCATCCGTAACAACTTGACTCCCATCCGCAATAACAACATGATCCAGCACCCTCTTAAAATGCTCAAGACTAGCCACAGGCTGGTAGTACGGCACCTCATGCCCCGCCTCATAGATCCTAGTAAACGAGAAGTTACCATACTCGCGCACCTCACCATACTCGACGCCATCAACAAGGAACGGGGTGTATCCCGCAGCGCGGAAAGCTTCAGAGTCCGTGTAGTTGACGGCGAGGGAGACGGCTTCGCCGCCGAACCAGTTGCAGATGTAGTCTGCGTCGCCGTAGAGGAGGGCGACGCGGACGCCGTAGCTGAGGATCTCCTCGAGGTCTTCGAGGAAGTTGGGGAAGACGAAGTCGCCCGTGGTGGAGAAGCCGTAGGAGACGTTGGGTGCGTTAGTGCTGGTGTAGTTGATGTTTACGCCGATGGCTTCTTGGGTGGAGGCCATGTTGAGGAAGTCTTCGAAGTAGTCCGGGGGCGTGGGGTCGTCGTAGGGGTGGCGGATGTCGTAGACGCCGCGGCCGCCGAAGGCGTAGTAGGGCTCTTCGACGAGGGACCGGCAGAGGTTGGTGGCTTCCGCGCAGGTGAGGTAGCCGGCTTCGGTGGTCCGGTCGGATTGCTTGCAGTATTCGATTTGGTCGTGGCAGCCTTCGGGCATGTAGTAGGCGTTCTTCATGAAGGTGTAGACGGTGTCGTTGACGGCTTTGATGCCGTAGGTGTTGTTGACGGCAAATTCGGGGTAGTAGGGCGCCTGGATCTGCTCGTCGATTATACCGTTAATGACACCGAGAGTGTCCATCTCGACTTCGACACCGGCACATGAGCCGTTCTTGATCTTCTGGTTCTGTTGGTAGAAGTAGTTGTAGAAGCCTGGGCCGTAGTGACCTCCGTAACTGGGGACATTGTCAGCATTGCGATCATCTCTGGACAATCACATGACCTACCTCTCAGTCCAGAGGTTGAAGGTGAAGTTGGTGATATCGGGGTCGAGCTGTGGGCTCAGCTCCAAGAAAGCCTGGAGAATGTGCCATGCACCAATGGCTGCAGCATCGGTGGTGTTTGCAGTGTCTGGGCCGACGAGCGAGTAGCGGCCATCCTCATCTGTCTCGGTGGTTTCGTAGGAAAAGCCGACACCTACGGGCTGTGAAAGGTACAGCATGTTGCTGCGCTCATTCCACGAGTAAGGGTTTAGCTGTGTCTTCAAGTCCTCGGTAACGTTGCAAGGGCCATGTTCCTGGAACAGACCAATGAGAGAGTCACTTCCGGGTCCTCCGTTCAACCACAAGGTCTGACAATATGATTAGTACACATTATAGTTGCGCTTCACGAACACGGTACTTACCAATGGCTTCTCAGAAGGGTTCTCGCGAGCCTCAAAGAACCAGAAGAACATGTTCGTCGTCGGGTTGAGGCTTATGTAACCGGCATAGTCGTCGACACCCTCGGTGGTCTCGCATACACCCGCCTTGCCAGGCTGCTTGTATGTGATCTTAGCACCAGCAGCAGATGTGATGGTCGTGACGCCGGTAGGGTCAGCGGGCACTTGGCGTTCCTTGATGAACGGCGCGCGAGCATTGGCTAGCGAAGCAGCGGCCAGAACGGCGGCGAGTTGAGCGAAGCGCGCCATGGTAGGAAGCTTGTCGGGAAGAAGAGCAACCAAGACTTCAGCGAATGCTTGCCCAGCAAAGTAGTGTCTTCCGCCTCTTTATATACACGGCCTTACTACGAAGCCAAGCGGCATTGCGTGCACCGGCTCACCTAGCTACGCATGCCTCTCGCGTATTTCAGCGCTGGATCAACGTCAGACTACATGGTCGTATGCTGCGAGCCGCGGGTTGGGGCACAGGAAAGTAGTCTAGATCAGGCAACTGCGGACGTTCTGTGCAATTATTGGCCGGATAACGTGTCTCTGAAGATCCTCCGGCTATGTGCTGGGAGCAGTGCTCAGGAAGTTCGGCTAGGATGTACCGGCACGTCCCTGGCGGGGTGATAGAGCTGTTTCACCTGCACGACCATCAATAATCATTGTGCCGTCTTCTTGCACTCTTTTCTTCAAGTTGCAAATACACCCACGATGCTCGCACACCTAGTTCCTGCGGTGCTTTGCGACAATATCGCGTTGACGTTGAAGCCTCGTATCCACAAGCCCCAAAGCTTGCTGCAGCGCGCATGAGGAGCTTCTTACCCAAAGAAGCAGCTCGCTATGCACAGCGGCGGAACAAGGCCACTTGCCAAGGCTTGTCTTGCTTGTTACCGAGCGGGCAAAGCTTATCGACGTCATGATTTCGGCGTGATATTGGACGGGAGGCTGGCACTGAGTTTGATGAGCCGTTCGCTGTCGATGGTGTGTGGAGGTGGAGGGAGGGGAAGAGGCCGGGAGATGCCCCGCCACATGCCGCAGCCCAGCCCTGTGCTGATTCCGACCAAGCGGTAGGCCTAATTGTGGCTTTGGCGACTGAGGCGATTACCTGGAACTGTAGACTTTTTCCTGTATCAGGAAGTCAAATCGCATGGCTTGTTACATTAGGAACTCAGGATGGCCAAGGCGTAGTTCAGATGGGTGAGCGGTGTCTGGTTGCTCAGACCACTAGCAAGTGGCTGGGTGGGGACAATCGCAGTCAGCAAGTAGATCGCATACGCGCAACACGGCACGGTATCTCGGTGTCCTGATCAATCTCAATCAGGCCTCAAGCGGATGAGTATACAGGCGGGTACACGCGGCCATAACAGCAATTTTCGCGACTTCAGAGGTATTGGGTTCGAAAGAGCAATGCTGTTGGTGGCATTTACTAATGCTCTAATCCCCGGACTCTGCGAGGTTTATGTGTGAAACACACACACCGAGGTTGCTCCTACCCGGTGTACGACAGCCCTTCCGGGTCTTCCGGGTTCAATCACGCGTTCATTCCAGCACTCGTTACACTCCTCCGCCTCGCCTCCTCCACATCACCACCGAAATACCTCGCAATCTCCACGTCCAATTCCCTACCCATCAGCTTAGGCATCTCCTTCGCTTGCTTGACCGGATTGATGCCCTCATGATGCGCGCTCGCAAAGATGACATCCAACTCTTCCAGACTGCGACCCTTGGGCTCCGGAAAGAAGAAGTAGACGCTGGGTATGAGGCAGGCATTGAAGACCGCGAACATGGTGTAGGTGTTGTATTGCAGATTCGCGAACGCTGGGGGCGTGATCATGACGATGAGAAAGTTGGATATCCAGTTAGAGCACGTAGAAAGCGCGTTTGCTTGGATGCGGATGCGGAGGTTGGTGATTTCGGCAGGGTAGAGCCATGTCATTCCTAGCCAACCGATCGCGAAGAACGTGTTGAAGGCGAACATGAACACCACAGCCGTGATGCCGTACTTAGGCTCTAAGACCGGAGCACCAAATTCGTTTTCGGTGGCCGTCGACGTCATGCCGCTCATGATAGCCATACTAGCCATCATGCCGAACGCACCAAAGAGCATGAGTTTGCGACGACCAGCTCGTTCGATCAATGGAATTGCGACTAGTCCGGCGAGGAAGTATTCGGTACCGTTGCATGCGGACAGGAGACGGGACATGTCGGGGCCAAAACCAAGTGAGTTCTCGAAGACGTAGGTTGCGTAGTAGGTCTAGTGAAAGCAAGGTCAGTTTGTGGTTTACCACTACGATATCTGAAGGCGTACGTACGATGAGGTTGATACCGCTGATCTGTTGGAAGAACTGCGATGCCACTCCCAATAGCGTACGCCGAAGGTTCTGACTGGGGCCGTTGTGCAGAAGCTCCTTCATCTTGAATGGGCCATCCCTACTTTGCGCTTCCAGTGCATCCTTTATGTTTGTGAGCTCCGTATCGACCTCTTCCGAGTCCGCAGATGTACCGGCGAGGCGAGCGAGTAGGAGTCGGGCTTCAGTGTGGCGGCCACGCATTACGAGCCATCTTGGCGAGTCGGGCAGGAAGCAAAGACCGATCCTGAGATCATGTTAGTGGTATGCTCTGAGGAACAGGAGAAGGTAGACGTACATGACGAGAATAGTGAAGAAAGACTGGAAGACAATGGGAAACCTCCAGCGCACGGAGCTGTAGACCTCGCCCGATGGCAGAAAGTAGAATCCGTAAGTTACCCAGTACGAGATCATTACGCCTGCGACGATGACTGCTCCGGATGTGATGATCAAGCGTCCACGCTTCTCCGGTTTCGCGCATTCAGATTGCCAGGTCGGGATGGCTGGGAAGGTTATTAGTAAGTGATGAAGCTTGCAAGCCAATAAAACACTCACTCGCTGTGACCATGCCGTTGCCAATGCCACCGACCACACGACCAATGGACAGTAGGGCGTACCCGTCGACTCCACCACCACTAGTACCTCCCGCAACCACTTGGAGAACTGTTCCAACAATCATGATGAAGCTGCCCCAGAAGCTACTGCTTTTCCTTCCCCAGACCTCACCGTAGAACAGAATCAGAACGGCGCCGAGGAAACATCCAATCTGATACACCGCGACGCATGCGGATAGGATACTGGGGCTACCCGTGCACATGCTTGGATCGGGAACAGTGTTGGTCGGTGCATCGAGCCAGCAGAGATTGTTCTGACGTTCGCGAGGTGTCATAAGAGGAAAGTGGCGTTGGAAATCTAGATGGCGGAGAAGTCAGCGTACGTCTCATACAGTTCATATGTCAGAGTACTTGCCATCGAGAGTGAGGACGCCGGACAAAACTCCCTGGTCATAACCGAACATGAGAAATGCCAGACAAGAGCACCATGCTATGGCGTTGTTCAACGCTTTCCCTTGGAGGAGACCAGCGCCGGGAACGTGCCATTCTGGCAGATTACCGAGCTTGGAGAAGATACCTAGGACGCCGGAAGGTTGTGATGCTGCCTTTTGTTGTTCGATCGCATCTTGTGATGATGAGGAAGGATTTTCATAGTTGATGTTATCAATGCGCGTGTCAGGTGAATGTTCTGAGCGCTTCTCGTCTATCTTTTCGGAACCCATTTTGAGACTGAGATGGTCGAAAGAGTCCTAGCCAACGAATAGTTCAAACATCAGCTGGTCAGCGCCATTTTATACTTTTGCGCTTCCGCACACTCGGCTATCCTGCCGGTAGACAGACGCGTTTAGGTTGCAGCCAACTCCTCCGTGCGCCATCACCTGCAACCCCAGAGTCTTAGCCATAGCATATATGGGGTAATTTGTGGCTGGTACAAAGCCCATCGGCGACGTAGTCCAAGCCTTTCTCCAGTCGGAACGACCTCTTCGGGCAACCCGTCCAGGTGCTGAGGCTTTTCCGATGCACTAAGTAGGGCCAAGAGGCCAGACAAGCAGCGGGGCGGAGCCTTGACCTTGGCGAGCATCCTCATCTCGGCGTTCGGGTCAGGAATACGGGAGTACCTGTGAACAGAGATGAGTATTGCCGCGTAGTCGGGGAGATAGAGTAAGAAAAGTTGGAGCAGGCGAGAGTGAGAAGTTGTTTGTTGTGTGGCAGACGTGCTGTCCATGTCTGCTTTGAATCGTATATAACGCCAAACCATGCTGACTGTATAGTACATAGGCGTGCAAGCATGGGGCTTGCTTCATGCCTGTCGCTGGCTCCAGATGGTAGTCCTTGCTGCCGGGGCTTCCACCTGTGGTGCGCGGCTTCCCTCTATTCATCCTGACTTCCATAATTGCCCAGATCCAATATTCATCGTGATCGTCTAATGCTCTCTATTGCGCCCGCTCATTTCGTGGTGAAGAGTTCGTTCTATTTCTTGCCGCGTTTCGCTTCGAGGAAAAGTACTTGTTTCCGCACTGTCCGCTGTCAGCCATGTTCCTGTATCCAGCCTGCCCCGCAAAGACCCGCGGGTCCTTCAATTGCCCCAAAATTGTATCCGATCTAGCATGGCTCCGTGTATGAGGCAAGCGCCGGTCGAGGAAAAAGGTAGGAAGGAACGATGGTGTCGTACCGATGGGATCGTATTTGAGCATGCTCAGCGGCTGATGCGCACGTGGTCTTTGCATTGTCCGGTAGTAGCCCGTCATGGCCATCGAGATTAGGCGCACCATAATGGTGCGGGACTTTGCTGTGAAGTGTCGTCGTCAGCGCATGTACGCAGAGTCGTGAGCCGTGAGAGGGTGCCTTGTGGATCGGCGGGGGCCTTGTGTTGGCTTCTGGGGACCTGAGATTAGAGTAAAGCAAGAGCGCATACCTTTCTTCGCCATTGCGACAGGCGGAGATGTGTGGTGCCGACGTCAACGGTGGTGATGTCGCGGCGTGACGATTTGCAGATGCGGATCTTGGCCCGGAGGTTCTGCGGCGCCAAGGTCGTCAGCCAATCAACGTCGATTGAGGTCTTCGCGACACCAAAGTTCAGCTGTGCCCGTCAAACCTCTTCGTCTCAACCATGACGGCCATGTTGTGAAGCAGACCCTGCATTGTTGCAACCCCCAGGTCCTGGATTTATCGAAAACAGTGCTACTTTCCTTCAGCCGTCGGAGTCATGATTGACACCATTTGCGCAAGCGCACGATACGCCTACCCCTCGCGTCCTCTTCAAAGCTCTTCTTCGTCTTCGCGACGCTTCGCACTCTTAATGTCATCTCGTTTCTTCAATCGTTCCGTCATCTCAATTATCGTTTTTGGGCTCTGCACCCGTACGTGATATCGTTGTTCCATTCCACCTGCAACCCATCTCTGTTACCGAACTCGACGACGACGACATGATTTGCAATCGGGCATCGGCATGATTGATGTACCTCACTCACTCCGAATTCGAACGCAGGGCGGTGTTGAAATATGTATGGATTGATCCATCTAATAATGTCGGAGCAGAGCAACCTGCAGACCCACGCGACATGCCGTTCCATGTAGCGGGCGAGCGGCACAGCTCTGCGTCCTTGCATATACGCAACCTGCCTTCGGAATCTGCGTAACGGGCGCAGCAAGTATACTTGATAACACCATCCTTAGATATCCGACTTTTCGATCTCTGGAAGACAGGGCATGCACTTTGGTTTCTTCTCGGCTCCAGTTTCGGGACACTACTATCGCCCTGAGGCAGTAGGTCCTTTTCTGTGGAGCCGTCGTAATGCTTGGACAGCAATGTTCCAAGACCGCGTGTCCCCTTGGGCCATCAGGATCAACGTCGAACCGATACCTACGATGAGCTCAGAAAGCACTCGCAAAAAAAAGCCACGGATTGACAGACCTGGATATCAGCAGCTTTTCAAAGTCGATAACAAGATACCATAGCCTAGGATGGACGCTCGACAAACCCTCATGTCGCTTATCCATAGTCAGCGCGCCGGCGTTGGCAGCAAAAAAGAGCGTGGAAAGCAAGTCCGTGCTGCCGTCGCCTTGCGTGTTCGAATCGCTGACCTTACGCAAGGCAAAGTGAAGCCAAAAGATTCGCAAAAAAAAATGTTAGCGTCTCTTTGATTGAGCGTGTCATCCTTAGTGCAGGGGCCATGCTAATCTTCTCTGTATCGTTTCAAATGACCAAATGCCCGAAGGCGAAGAGAAGCTCGATTGTGGTGGATATATACCCAAGGTCGAGCGGTGAGGGCGTTTGTTTGCGTTGAGCGGGTACCCGGGCTTGTGCGCAGCGACAAGGCAACAGCCGGCGTGTGGCACGCGCTAAGCGCCGACAGGGAGCCGAAAGGAGAGGAGAGGAGAGGAGTTCTGAGATGGTTGGTCAAGGTGGAGTCAATGTTAGCATGCCCTGCAGATGGAGTGTTGAGCGTACCTTTGGTGCGGCGTTTCTTGCGACCCCAGCCTCGCACCACGACGAGGGAGCGTCAAAGCGGCGCCTGAAGCCAAGGCAATATCCTTGAAACGCTTGATACTCTGCTTTTGATGTCGTCGCATCATTCGGAAGCGCTGTATCCATCTGGCCAGTTATGGACGACATCCGCGGAGTTGAAGTTGACGATTTACCAACGATGACGCATTCCGCCGATTCGATAGCCAAAAGAGGAGGAGGCAGACATGAAAGAAGGAGATGAGGAGGGACGGATGTAGCAGCTTGTTGATGATGCTTAAGCGTATCTGCGAAAATGTTAGCTGTACGCGAATGGGAAGAGCAGGGCAGACGACGACACTCAACACTACGACGTTCGGTGTATTGCGAAGACTAGACAAGAGCTTGTCGCATGAACAATCTGAAAAGGGCAGACCGCCCGCGGTTAGTATGCTGCTGTCTTGAGAGGAACGAGGTACTTACCGTCGAATTCGACGAGAGCACATGCGCGTATGCTACACCAACCGGTTAGCATGATACTGACTTGGGGAATCAGAGGTACTCGCCGCCGCGCCTCTGGATACGAGTGAGGAAGCTGGATGAGCACATTGCGCGCATACGACACCATGCGGTTAGGAGGATGTTGTCTTGAAGAAGAGCAGGTACTTACCTTCAAAGTAGTCGTCAAGACTGGAAGTCCGCCGCGGAGTCAAAGAAGGTCAAAAATACACACATCGCGTTAGCAAAGTCCATGTCTTCGGGCATTCGGTCGATTCGAACGACACTCACCGGATGCGTGGCGCCGCCGCCGACACCAGAAGCTACCAAATTCGATCAAGTACCCACTACTTCATGTGAAGTATGGGAAATGTACGGACGACCCACAGCATCAGTTCAATGAATTGAAAAAGATGCTTAACCCACGCCCGGCCATCGAGCTGTGGGTCTATACAGGACAAACGCTCTGGATAGCAGCTCGAAATGCGGCTTACTTGCTCTTGGGAGCCGCTCAGTGAGAGGCCACTATGAGGAAGTGGTCTCACTACCTTAGAGGTTGATGCGACTCCCTGAAACCAACATTGGGACTGCGATCAACCAAAGAAAGAGCTGAGTACATGAGAACACGCCGGTAGAGTCTGGATACTTCGGGTCAGCTGGTCAATGGGAACAGCACTCACAAGATTGCTTGGCCGTTGCGGACAACGACGCTCGAGAAGGCTACCGGATTTGGCTGGCAGTCGGGTGGAGATGCCACGAGTGGAGGATGCGAAATGGCTAGGCGATGTGACCAGGAAGAAGAGCCAGGCGAGGAGGCGTATATCTTGATGATCAGCAATGTGCCTCACCACCGAGCATTTGGTCAAGGTACTTACTGCGATGAAGCAACCAAGATCGAAGCCTGCCAGAACGCGGATTGAAATGCCTGGCGCTGAAGTCAGTGAAGAAGCTGGATCTTCGGACACTTGTTCAATCTGAGCGACACTCACAAGATAGCATCCGCCGTTGCGAATGATTGGGCTCGAGAAAGCTGACCATCGTTAACGCCAGTCGGAAAGGCGTACGTGCGTAAAGTCAGCATAAGCTTCATTCATCGGGCATCTGGTCGGAAGTACTTACAGCAATGCCATAGTCGCACGAGAGTCAGCGCAATATCGAAGGTCATGCGTTTGAAGTCAGCCACCGTCCCAAACCTTCGGGCATCTAGTCAATTTGACCGACACTCACAGATTGCTGTCGCCGCTGCCGGAGACGACGTTAGAGAAAGCTACCATCGGATCAAGGGCTGGGGAAAGAGAAGAGACTCAGATCTCGGCGGCGCGGACTGGAGATACTACTATGAGGAAGTAGTCTCGGAAGATCATCGCACCGCCTTGAGAAGCGCAGAGCTAGCGTCGGCATAAGCTGAGAGGAGATGTGAAAGAGTTAGCTGTGGTCTTGTACGAAGGGGGGTTAAGAAGGGATCACTTACCCGAAGCGAAGATACGCAGCCAGGCCGACATCAAAAGCGGGAGCATCACATCACGCAAGCAAAAGAGACAGAACAGGTATCAAACAAGTATAAATCTGCGAAGAGTTAGCAACTGGAACCGGAAAGAGAAGCAGGGATGGGAGACTTACTATATCTACCGCAACACCAAGGAGGGTTTCCTTCGACACTTTCCATCATTCAATCCACCGACTCAAGGAGCGTAGCTCGTCCTCGCTGACGTAGCCGGAGAGACCGCCGATGAAGACGGTGGTGTTGTTGGGGTCAATGAACTGGTTCCATCCGCTGGGGGTCAGCGAAAGAGTGAATGAAGCGGAGGGATCGCAGCCATGGCGAAGATTGATCTAGCATAGACCCTGGGCTGTATGTGTTCTCGAAGTCGTCGCTGCGGTAACTCTTTGGCGATGGTGATATGCTCTTGTCCAGGACAGAGCTGTGCAAATGGACCGCAGCCGTGGCGAAGATTGATCTAGCATAGGCCCTGGACTGTATGTGTTCTCGAAGTCGTCGCTGCGGTAGCTCTTTGGCGATGGTAAAAATGTACAGGAAACCTTGTGCACCTGCACAATATGCTCTTGTCCAGGACAGAGCTGTTGGCGGTCATCCCATGGGGCGTCATCGACAAAGGCAGACGCTGACACTCGGGGAGGAGGCGCTTCAAGCGTGAGCCACTGAACGGTATAGGCGAACCAGTGGGATTGAAGTATGCGTTGCGATGCGACGGCCTCCGGCGGTGATGTTCTCGTAGCCTGCGGACTTGATGTCCCATTGTGTCATGCGACGTTCGCGCTTCTGGATGTTTGTGAAGCTGGTGAGGTCGGGGGTAGCCTCGCGCGGCTTGTTGAAGGGCGGGGACTCTCCTTTTGCCTCCAGACGGCTTGGAGTGCGAATTTATGGCATCTGGATAATGTTACTGAGCGACCTGCGGTCGAAGAGCCCGAACCCGGAATCGAGAGTAGAGCTGACGCATCCTATCACGTCCGCCGCCGAAGCCTCCATCGCGTCCTCCCCGAAAGAGGCGATTGGGTAGTGGTAACAGTCATGTCCATATCATCTCAGGCCATTACACACCAGTTACCAGTATCGTCCATATCCATCTCAAATCAGACCAACTCCTTGTGCATCTCAAGGACCTGAGCCTTGGTGCCAGACAGCGCCATAGCAGCGTACAGATCCTCCTCGAAGCCCGCCTGAGGGCTGATATCATTGAACTTCTCTTTGCGCTTGTTGACGAGTAGCACGAAATGGCGAGGTAGATAGCACAGAAGCTAGCGAATCTGTCTGGTAGTGTCCAGTAGATTGGCTTCGGTATCTGGCCTCCCTGTCCCCGCGCATCCTGAGGACGGGCCGCTCCGAGACGGGCTTCTGGCGAGGTTTCGAAAGTTTGCGACCAACGACGACACGCGCGAGGATCTGGTTGGAGAGCTTGCGCTTAGCGGCATCCTCGTCACCGTCGCCGCCCTGATCCGGAGTGGTGTTCGTCTCCGGAGGAGGCGTTCGCTTGTTGACGAGTAGCAGATCCGGAGTGGTGTTCATCCCCGAAAGAGGTGATGGGTGCTGCAAGTCTCTCAGCTGATTCAAGATGGTAAACTCCGTGCGCAGGAGCTGGAGGCAGCGGCGATGGAGAGGAGAAGTCGTGGCACTCTGGGCACGGGCTACGAGCATACAGCAGTAGCGAGGTAGCAGTCTCAGATGGAGACCGCCATCCGGGCATGAAGTATTCCAGGGCGTCACAGGATACTGCGATGTATGGGCTTCGTCTGTCGACGATATGCTCGTACTACTGGTTGGGTGAAGAGATATCGGCTGCTTCTGAACTGTCGCCCCAAGACAAGCGCCAACCCTATCATTAGGAGAAGGCGACTTACAGCTTGGGGTATGAGATATGTTAAAGATAAGCGAAGGCGGTGGACTCTGAGATGGTGGCCGATCTCGCCGAACATCAGAGCAGGTCTTGACGTGGTTGCCGTTGGCACGAGCCGTCGGAGGAGATGAAGTATGCGTTGCGATGCCATCGCGTTGTTGTCGTGAAGCACAAAGTACTTCTTGCCGATGAGGGTCGCCAGAGGAAGTGCTGAAACCAAGTGCTAGCAACTATGCGTTGGCTCATCTCCGTCATCTTGGTATGCAGGTTTACTCTCGTGATGCCCGGGAATGTCTGTGGGTACCGTATCGATCCTCAAGACTCTGTTCTTGGACGTGGAGGACAGGAGTACGTGATCGTGCGGGATGCATTTCGAACTTGTCGTCGTTGAGCATGGGGCGTGAAAGCTGTTGATGCTGTGGCGCAACGTTGTAGGCATTTGGTCGAGAGGTCTGCCGGAGAAGTTTGAGAGAGACCAAGCGCAACGAATTCCACGTACTCGATGAACAGGTCGATCTTGTCGTTGTTGAAGAGATGCTCTGCATTTACCACCAACTCCAAGATCCAAACGTTTGTCTTGAGCGACATGAGAAGAGGTGTGAGTTCTTCTCTGCTCACCACGGGGAGTATCTGAGGCGCTGGGTATCTTGACTGCCGACGCTACGTCGTTGTTCTGGCTGCCACGCTTGGCAACGGTGACATTGGCCCCGGGCAGAACGTACTGCTCTTCGACTCCTCGCGACTCTGGATTCTGGTTCGGGAGATGGGATTTCTCGATGGTCCGTAGGAGGTAGAAGCGGACTTGCTGCATTAGACCTCTCCTCGCCGTGGTCGCCGAATACTCCTGTCGCCGTCCGAAGACGGGCGCCAACCCCATGCTGGGGAAGACGACTTACCATGAACGCCAACCCTATCGGTAGAGAAGGCGGCTTACCATGGGCACCAACCCATCACTAGGGAAGGCGACTTGTCGCTGTCGAATCCTCCTCCTCGAAGCCGGCCTGAGGGCCAGCATCGTCCTCCTCAAAGTCCTCTCCTTGAACGTACTCATGTACCATGGTAATGACCTTCTGGAACACATCCGTCAACAACGATGAGAACAGCATTGCCCTCACTCTGGATCGTTTCTTGGTTCATATCGGCCATGTAAGGAGGCGATGTGTGAGCGTAGTATATGCATGGAGGAGCCAAGGAGGTTGAAGCGAAACTAATGCGTGGACGCGACGTCAGGAACGCCCTTCTGCGGGACCTCGACGGTGATGGACGCCTCCGGCAGCGCAGCAAAGGTAGTAATGGCGTAGCAACTGGACGATGCAGAGCTTGAAGTTGACTCAAGCGTGACGGTCATGAAGATCGTCTCAGTCACGATGACGACTGGTCGGCGACCTCGTGCACCTTGTAGCCGGTCCCCAAATCCAACAAAGAGCAGAAGAGGAAAGATCAGCTTGTTGGGTCTCGACGAGCTCTCGAATCTGCTCCTCCTCGATGTATGTGGGGATGTTGACGATGCTCAGCTTGTTTGGGCTGTCCATGACAACACAGGTCATGCCAACAAACGCTGTGAGGATGCGCTTGTTGACGAGTAGCAGAAAAGCTTGCGTCCTACACGTGTTGGGCCTTCCCGAGCCGACATGGAGCAGATGTTATCGAGACCACCACAAGCGACGCCCGAAAGCATTTCCTGTGGACGAGTCAGTATGGGTTTCAAGTAGGATGCAAGAAGCTACTCACCGGTCTTGTACTTCACCTGCCAATGGGTCGCTGCTTGTACCAGCAAGTATGTCCTGGCAGAAGCGAAATGCGTGAACTTCGTGTACCTTCCATCTTCTAATCAAGAACGCTGAAACGCTTGCAAAAGTAGGAAAGATAGCGACGTCGCATTGCAATTGCAAATGACCTTGGAAGTGTTGTAAGGCTGGCGTTCGAGGCGGATTCTCAGAGGGCGTCGATTTCGCTCGCTCGAGCCGGTGGTATCGGGGCGACACCAACAAGTGGTGATGAGGTCTTGCTGGCGACTGGAGCTCACTTGGCTACCCTCTCGTCGTGGGAGAGGACATTGCCCGGGAGGCGGGTGCGACGCAGCGCGGACCCGGAGTCAGATTTTGCCTCCCATGCCCTGGGTGGATGGCAGGGCTTGTCGGGGTGCTGGTATCTGGCAAGCGTTAGTCAATGAAGGGGAGTTCATCGAAGGGGAAAGATGATGCTCACTTCGTCTGGCGCCAGCTCGCCTCTTCATTGTAGCTTGTTTTTGCTCAGTGTCCCAGTGACACATCTTGCTTGCTTCCAGTTCTACTGCTTGAACTTTCAGGGGCGGAAGGCGTTCTCGGCGAGGAATTGGCTTGACCACTCGCGGCGCGGTCGCCTAAACAAACGAAGACACCAGCAGGCAATGACCTTTCCTGCTGGGACTGCCCTGTTCAGCCATCTCCCTCAGACTAGGTGAGATGTTTCCAGGAAGCGCGGCGGGGACGCACAGAGACAGATTCACTTCCCACACTGAGACACGTTAGCAACAACCAAAGGGGAGTGGGCACTTACATCGCTCTCGATACTGCGATACGTTAGCAAAAGGCAAAGGTTGAGGACGACGTACATGCGATAGGCTGTCGAAGCCTTGGGGTCGAATACGATTGCTACCCGCGATGGGCGTATGGATCGTCTGTCTCGACCACATGGCATCTCGAGACGCTGGCGTATGGGTGAGAGACAGCCTAAATACATGTCAGTAAGTGAATGTCGCCGGTAAGGGTAGGTAGATACTTAGCGTCGATGAGACGCTGATGAAAGGTTTGCTGCTCGCTGATGTGCCGGCCAGCGCGTAAGCCGGCATCGATGGCGAGCTCGGGGGAGGGGACGATGGAAAGAATAGAAAATGTGGTGAGGATGCTTAGGAAAGCAAAATGATTGGAAGAAGGTTCAATGCGGTCAAGCACGAGTACTGGAGCTCAGTTAGCCGCCCTTCTCCGAAGAGAAGGACGTTACCAGGAGGCGGCGACGGGGAGCCAGAGTCAGATTTTTGCCATCCCACCCTGAAACACTAGTTAGTCAACGATGGGGGAGGGGGGATACGTACGTGTAGAGGGTGCCTTGTCATGTTGTACAGCGGTGGCATCCGATATCGTACTTCTTCTCTTGGGCGAAGGCGAGAGAAGCGAAAGGGGGAAGTATCGGAAGGACAACGGAAGTTCATCGGGCCTTGCGCGCGCAAGCCTTGTCGAGCTTCTTGGGAAAGCGAAAAGCCGGTTGTGGAGGGCGTCTCGGTTCGTGGTGTTGAGTTCGACCAAAGGCGATGGCAATACCCTGGATGTAGTCAGCCAAAGTGCTCACCTCGATTAGGTATTCGGGGTACTTGGTAGAGATATGGGGAAGGTTTGAAGGGACGTGCACTGGTCTTGTTAGTCAATGAGCTCGATGAGGGAAAGGAATGAACTCAGGAGTGGACCAAGAGCTGTCGCAATGGTCATGAGGGGTCCGCATGTATGAGATCGACAACCAGCGAGTTGCTATTGCAATACGGAATGCGGCAAGCCGGGGCAGTCGATCGTGTACTCGTCAATGGCCGCCGTTGTCTGAGGCAGGGTCAGTAAGGAAGGGGATGACAAACCTGGATGAAGGAGGGTGGAGGAGATAAGGGAATGGAGGTGGAAGGGCCAGCACCACTAGACAAAGGTCAGTCAAGGAACTAATGATGTAAGACAGAAGAGGTAATATACCAATGAGTGGACATGGTCGTTTTGTCGGTAAACATTGCGGGGTAGGGGCGCTGGGTGGTCCGACGAAGATACTGCTGGCGACGACAGTAAGTGCCGTGATGGAGGCGCTGCGACTAAAAGTTGAAGCTTAGCAGTACGAGCGACGCCGCGTTGATGGCGACGTCGTAATGTTAGAGGGGGGGAGGAGATACCTGAAGATGTGGTCAGAGCTGGTGACGGCAAGATGTGCCATGATGTGACCCAGCGATTACAAGGTTTGGATTAGCATGACGAGGGCGACGCCGTATCAGTGACGGCGTCGCAATGGTAGAGAAGGGGAGAGGATACGAGTAGAGGTGGTTGAAGCTGGCTCTTGGAGCGGGGTACTAGACCAGACGCGCGACAGCAGCGCCGGCAAGGTCATCGTCAGCAAAGCTCAAGGCAAGGAGGAGGAGATATTGATGGAAGGTTTATACTTATCCCCATGCAAGGCATGGGCGGCCGACTCCAGGCGAGGCAAGAGGTGGCGGGGAGAGCCAAAGTCAGCGCTGCTGCTACCAAAGTTAGCTGGCAGTCAGGGAGTCAATGAGGGGATACCTTGAGGCAACTGCCAAGTAGAGTAGAGGTGCTGGAAGAGGGAAGGAAGCTTCGAGGAGCAGAAAAAGGTCGACTGCGAGGCAATTTTGGGTGGTGGTTGTGGGAGTAGGAGAGAGGGAGGGAGTGAGACAAAAAGCTTTGATTTATGGTAAGGCAGCTAGCTGAGAGAGCGGCGGTGACGGCGAGTTGTTCAATAGTATCAATATCACCGCGAGCAATGAGACAGGGGTGGGCAGACGGCGGCAGCTTGATGCATCTGCCACTGAGACACTGCAACACCAAGAGAAGAGCTGGGAGGACGACGACGATGATTTTAGATAGTTCTATAGTATTGCATCCTCCTCGCGAGGTCTTGAAGTCCTATCCTACCGTGTTGTGTTGGT